CATTCCTTCTCATTGTATCTTTCTCGTTTCTCATGTTTCTCATTTCATATTTCTCATTTTTCATTTATTATTCATTTCCCAGTTCTCATTTCTCATTTCATATTTCACATTACTCATTCGATATTTCACATTTCTCATTTTTCATTTTTTCTCATTATTCATTTCCCATTTCTCATTTAACATATCTCACTTTCACTTCGTGTCATATTTCACATTTCTCATTTCTCACATAGTGTCATTTCTCATTTCACAATTCATATTTCTCATTTTTCATTTATTATTCATTTCTCAGTTCTCACATCACATTTCCCGTTTCTCATTTAACATATCTCATTTTCACTTCGTGTCATATTTCACATTTCTCATTTTTCACAATGTGTCATTTCCCATTTCATAATTCATATTTCTCATTTTTCATTTATTATTCATTTCTCAGTTCTCATTTCACATTTCTCATTTTTCATTCCCCCTCATTGTATCTTTCTTATTTCTCATATTTCTCATTTTTCATTTATTATTCATTTTCCAGCTCTGATTTCATATTTCACATTTCTCATTTCTCACTTCGTGTCATTTCTCATTTCATAATTCATATTTCTCATTTTTCATTTATTATTCATTTCTCAGTCCTCATTTCTCACATTTGTCGTTTCTAACATTTCTCATCATCCTAACATCTCGTATTTCTCATATTTCGTTTATTATTCATTTCACAGTTCTTATTTCTCATTTTATATTTCATATTTCACATTTCTTATTTCTCACTTCGTGTCATTTCTTATTTCATAATTCATATTTCTCATTTTTCATTTATTATTCATTTCTCAGTTCTCATTTCTCACATTTATCGTTTCTAGCATTTCTCATCATCCTAACATCTCGTATTTCTCATTTTTCGTTTATTATTCATTTCTCAGTTCTTATTTCTCACTTCGTGTTATTTCTCATTTCATAATTCATATTTCTCATTTTTCATTTCTTCTCATTTCATCTTTCTCATATTTCTTATTTCTCGTTTATTATTCATTTCGCAGTTCTCATTTCTCATTTCATAGTTCACATTTCTCACTTCGTGTCGTGTCTCATTTTTCATTTCTTCTCATTCTTCAGTTCCCATTTCACATATCTCATTCCTCATTTCGTGTCATTTTTCATTTCTTCTCATTTCACCTTTCTCATTTCTCACATTCATCGTTTCTCACATTTCTCACCATCCTAATTTCTCATATTTCTCATTTATCATTTCCCATTTCTCATTGTCCATATTTTTCATTTCTCATTTCACATATCGCATTTCTCACTTCGTGTTACTTCTCATTTCATCTCTCTCATTTCTCAGATTTGTTGTTTCCCATATTTTTTATTTCTTCTGATTCCTCACTTTTCTCGTTTCATGACTCATATTTCTCATTCCACATTCCTCATTTCTTATTTCATAATTCTCACATTTTGCATTACAATTTCCTATTTTATATTTCTCATTTCATAATCCATATTTCTCAATCCAAACATTTCTCACATTTTTCATTTATCATTTCCTCTTTCTTCTCATTTCTTATTTCACATCTGAATTTCTCATTTAGCATTTCCCATTTCGCTTCACATTCTACATTTCCCATTTCCAGTTTCGCAGCTGGCACTTCGCATTTCTCATTTTACATTTCGGATTTCGGATTTCTTTTTCGAATCCCTCATTTCACATTTTGCTTTACCTTTCACATTCTCGATTTCTCATTTCTCATTTTGCATTCCGCATTTCCCATTTCGCAGTTCGAATTTCTCATTACGCATTTTTTATTTCCTATTTCGCTTCGCATTCCACATTTCACTTTTCGCATTTCTCGTTTCTCATAAATCATTTCTTATTTCGCATTGATCATTTCTCATTACTCATTTTACATTTCTCATTGCCCATTTTGCTACGCATTCCGTATTTCTCATTTCACACTTGCATTACTAGCAAATTTAACGTTTATAAGTCAATAATTTCTGACATCTGTCATTTTTGATGATATGTACCATAGAAATAATATTATATGGAAGTAACTTAGAGAGAGACGCGCGTTGCCAACACAGTGGGACAGAGATAGGGCTCTCTGGGTGGCAAAACATTGACGCGAAGCTGCAGAGCACTGTGTTTCTGGCGGTTTCTTTCGTGCTGTCGCATGGTGTTTAAAGGTGTATTTTTGCAAATTTACGCTTTTTAGGCTCAAGTTACCGTATTTAAATGACTACAGTCTTCTTAAGTTGTATTTTATCGAACTATTTGTTAAACATCGTGAAATCGTGTTGTGCGTATAATTGCAAAGAACGTGCAAAGAAAGCAATCCTGTTTCATTTCATAGGCAATAATCACATATAGAGACGAAGGATTTCGTAATTATAATTTAAAAATTTTGTTAGATTTCCTAAACATTCCGAATTACGAAAAAAATGGATTGTTGCTACAAAAAGAGGGAATTTTATATCTATTGATTATTGTTTTAGTTATTTGTACGTGGATTTAGAAAATAGATTTTGCTAGAAAATTCCACCCTCTTTAATATGTTCAATTTAATTAGGCACCCTGTCACTTTTATCGAAAGTTTAATTAATTTTATCCTAAAAATTTCAGATTTACCAATGAACATACACTACAAAATTAGTTAACTTGTAGAAGATTATTGTATTAACTGAATTCGTAATATATTGTAGATTGTGTATACATTTTATTTTATTAAAAGACTATCTCCACCACTTAACATGATTTTTGTTGTTTAATATTTCACATAATTTTAATGTAAACTGTAAAAATATAGTTTTCATTAACAAAAGTTTGTTATAATTGATTGTTTGAACAAATTCGTAAGAAAACGTATTAATTCCCGTTCAAATGAAGCGTTTTTTGCCACCCAGCACGTGCTAGTGGTCAGCCGTCCTTTTCCCACTGATGCCATAACAACTCTTGCTATTTCTTTCTTGTGTTGATTACACTCGCTCGCGTATGGAAACGTATACAAGGCTCCATCCACTCCTTTATTAGATCAATGATATGTACACAATATACCCTCATTCTCTGCTCTCGTAGGGATATAACCCAAACTGTATTATTGGTTGCCTAAAGCAAATTTTTAGCTACCTTTACGAATTGTATTACAGGCTTGCCAACTTTAAGGTAACTTCAACAACAACTCCTACGGATATTTAGACAACGCTGTGATAATGTATTATAGATATGATAACATGTCTTCTTCCAAAGAACCGCATGGTAAACTAATGCGAGCAGAAAGTGTAGAAATTAAGCCAACAACAATATTAACCCTTATATGTATTAATAACTGTATTGAAAGTAACCTTGCTTTTCTTCGTTGTATTCCGAATTCCGCTTGGTACTGGTCCGATCGAAAAAGAGATCTTTTCGCCATGATTCGACAATTAGGAGCACCGACTGCTTTTATGACTGTCAGTGCTAATGAAACGGGTTGGACAGATTTGCTTAAATTATTGTATAAATTAAAGAATAATGGAGCAGATATATCCAATGAACTTTTAGCTGAAATGAGTTATATTGATAAAGCAACTCTAGTTAATGAAGATGCTGTTACTTGTGCCATATACTTTAACAAATTAGTAGATTGTTTATTGAAGATTTTACAATCTAAAAAAAGAAGTCCATTTGGTAAACATAGGGTAAATAATTACTGTTATGGTATTAAATACTCCATAAACTATATAACTCATTTATTTAACTAACAAATCTTAATATTCTTCATTACAGTTCTGTAATGAAGAATATTAAGATTTGTTCTCTCTATCTCTAACTTAAAACTTCTTCTCCCCACCATCTCGTGACACGTACGCCACCCACACTACCTATCTGTGTGGCATCAAACCTATTACTATGACATCCCCCTTTCTATATAAAAAAATAACTACAACTACTTATAACTATTTACAATTTATACATAGTAGTCGCGAAACCTTAATGGTGCTCGCCTGTTCCGCTGAGGTCTTTGGTTGACCTTGGGTTGCGCTATGGTTGCTTGAGGACTATTACTCACGGTTTCAGTTTCAGGTACATGAGCTGGAACCGATTGTGTAACCTCCCAATTGTCCTCTAAATTGTCTTCTAGCAGTTGGTCAAATAGCCTGTTTTGATCACCTGCTTGTACATTAGTTTGAAAAGTGTTCCTATCTACCCGTTTTAAATACTTTCTATTTCGGACTAATACATTGCCATTACTACGAAATTTAACATGGTACGCTCTTGGCCTGTAACTATCTTGTTTTATAATTTCACCAGGCTCCCACCGCTTGGTAACTGGATCCTGCACCACCACCTTATCACCACATTTTAATTCTGACATTGCTTTCTTGGACTTGTTGTAATAGTATTTCTGAGTTTGTTTCTGACTGCAAAGATTTTGATGGTGTTGCTTTATACTATGTTTGGGTATTAGGAGTGACTGTTTAATAGGTACTAATCCTTTGATTTTACGACCAAACAACAATTCTGCTGGGGATGGTAAATGTTTGCTAATTGGTGTGTTCCTGTATTCTAGTAGCGTTAGATAAAGATCTTTACCATCATGCAAATTTTTTAAAAATAACTTCTTTATTGTTTGTATGTGCCTTTCCACTAGCCCGTTAGATTGTGGATATTTGGGCGAACTTGTCTTGTGCAAAATTTCCCAATCTTTTAAGAATTTCTGAAAATGGCTGTTAATAAACTGTGAGCCATTATCCGAAAACAAAATGTCTGGCTTCCCATGTCTAGCAAAAATTGACTTGACTTCATTAATTACACGCTTAGATGTAGTATTTCTTTGCATGCATATGACTTCCGGGTATTTTGTAAATTCATCTACAACTAATAAGTAATCTTCGTTATCAAAATAGAACATGTCAGCTGAAACATTCTGCCATGGTCTGGTTGGCACACTTTTTTCCCACAGTGTTTCTCTCTGATTCGATTTACTGTATTTGAGACATGCAGAACAATTTTTTATTTTGTCAGTTATTTATGTGATCATTAATGGCCAATACACTAATTCACGAGCTTTATTACATGTTTTTTCTATTCCTAAATGCACATAATGCAGTTTCTCAATAATTTCTTTACGCATGGATTTAGGAATCACGATCTGATCATTCTTAAATATTAAATCCGTCATTACTGTTAATTCGTGTCGAAACTTATAGTATGGTTTAATTACATCCGGTAAATTTCCTTTCCCTGTCGGCCATCCGTCTATAATGAATTCTTTCAGTATTTGTAACTCAAAATCTTTGGCTGTTTCATTTCGCAACGTTTCAAACTTCTCTGGGCTAATTTCCGCATATTTAATAAAGTTGACTTGTAACTCTACGTTATTTTCTATGACTTCAAAATTCTTATCATCATAATGGGTTCTAAACAGTGTGTCTGCAAAGTATAATTTAGCACCAGACTTATATTTTACAACTAGATCGTACATTTGCAAAGTTATTCTCAATCTTTGGATTCTTAGAGGACATTTATTTAGTGGTTTTTTGAAAATCGTTTCTAGTGGTCTATGATCGCTTTCTACCACAAAAGATTTCCCATATAGATATTGGTGGAACCTTTGACATCCAAAGGCTATTGCCAATGTTTCTTTTTCTATTTGGGCATAGTTTTGCTGAGTTTCATTTAAGGACTTGGAAGCATAAGCGATTGGAGATCCATCCTGTAATATTACTGCCCCTAATCCATCTTTACTGCTATCTACTGACAGTACAATCTCTTTTTTATTATCATAAAATTGTAATACTGGAGTACTAGTTAGGATATCTTTCAAACTATTAAAATCTTGTTCATGCGTCTCATTCCAATCAAAATGGGTATCCTTTCTAAGCAATTGACGTAAATTACTAGTTTTTTGAGTCAAATTCGGAATGAATTTCGCGACATAGGTTATCATACCTAAAAATCGAGACAATTCTTTACAATTTTTCGGAGGTTTGATTTGTTTAATTGCTTCTATTTTACTCGGATCAACTCTGATTCCATCTCGACTAAGTATGTGTCCCACATATTTTATTTCTTTCTGATTAAATTTACTCTTACTTTTGTTAAATTTAACTCCAAACTCTCTAGCTCTTTTTAAAACTAACTTGAGAATTTTATCATGTTCCCTTTCATCTTTAGCATATAAAATTATATCATCAATGTAGATTTTAATATTGGGTATACCCTGAAAAATTTCCGTGAACGTGCGGTGAAATATCTCTGGAGCGTTGGATATTCCATAGGGAAGACGTAAAAATTTAAACCTGCCAAATGGGGTTGCAAATGTTGTCAATTTAGATGCTTGTTCAGTCAAAGTGATTTGCCAAAATCCTTTGTTTGCATCTAGAATTGAAAATATTTTTGAACCTGACATATCACTTGTAACTTCTTCAAATGTCGGTATTTCATAGTGCTCTCTGGCCAACGCATTGTTAAGATTTTGTGGATCTAGACAAATACGAACTTCGTTGTCTGGCTTATTTACAAGTACAATAGGATGAACATATTCAGTCGGTTCACGAACTTCCACAATTACTTCGTCTTTGATCATTCTCTTTAATGTATTTTCTAGCTTATCCATGAGTCTAAAAGGTACTTTCCTGCAAGGTACTATTTTCGGCTCATAATTACTTTTTAATGTGAAATCGCATGGGTTCTTTTTAATTTGACCTAAACCCTCAAACACGTCACTATATTCTGACAATAATACCGATTTATTAACTTCCACGTTATTTACAGTCGAATGTGTTTGTATTCTTTTAACTAAATTAAGCTCAATGAGTGCTGAAAGCCCTAAAATTGCACTTGACTTTGTTTCTACTACTACAAATTCAAGAGTGTAGCTTTGACCCTGGTGAACAATTGTCAGATTACAAGATCCAAATACCTGTAGTGGAAACCCGTCATAATTATTTATGCTAACATTCACTTTACTCAGTAGACAATTTATGTTATTTCTATCAAACAAATATTTCGGTATTACATTTACCTGAGCACCAGTATCAAGTTTAAAGTTAATTTCACAGTCAAATTCTTTAATACCAAGCTTTTGATACCAGTCTCTAGGTTTTTGATACTGCTCCTGTAAAGAATCAATTACATAACTGTAAGAACTAGCAGTTTTAGAATTATCTACTACATGCACACTCCTATGTACTGAGTTTGCTGTGTCTCCCATTTTAGACTTGCACATCCGCGCAAAATGACCTGTTTTATTGCACTTTTTACACTGTTTACCTGAGGCTGGGCATTCCTCACGACGTGGTTGGTGTTGGCGACCACATCGATAACAGTCCACAGTTGTCCTATTTCCATTCTGATGCTCCTTTTTACCCTGGTAGCTGACCCGTTGATGTCCCCATTGGATTTGACCTTTCCTTGAGTTTCCTAAATTTCCCCATTCTTGTTTTGTTGCAGACGGTGTTTTTCTATTTACTTTCACCTCTTCCACCATTTTTTGTGGAGTTTCTGACATCTTCTTCATATGTTGTTCCGTTACTTCTGCTGCTCTACCAATTTCAATAGCTTTTCCAAGAGTCAGATTCTTCTCCCTTAGCAGTCTGTCTTTTACTCTTGCATCTGTGACTCCACACACTATCCTATCTCGCAGCATTTCCTGCTTAAATTCTCCAAATGCACAGTCTGCAGCTATTCTTTTTAGATCTGTTACAAACGTATCAAATGGTTCTTCCTTTTCCTGTACTCTGTTATAAAATTTATTTCTCTCGACACTCGGGTTTACTTTTGGCACAAAATAATCCTCAAATTTGGCTATAACCTTCTTTATGTCCTTTCGCTCGTCGTCCTTTTCAAATTCGAACGTCTCAAAAATCTCTCGTGCCTCTTCGCCTACAATATGTAAAAAAGTGGCTACTGCAACTGAGTCACCTTTTGCGTAACATCCGGTGGCTTCCGCATATATTTCGAAATTGCTTCTAAATCTCTTCCAATTTGCAGGAATGTTCCCCTCAAATTTCATAGCCTGTGGTTGCTTCAAAAACTCCATTTTGTCAATGCCTTTTTTTCACGTGTTCTGTGCTGCTTAACCTCAATCTTTCCACGCGCTTTCCTTTCTTCCCTGGATTACTTGCTTGGGCGGGCTTACTTGTTCCCTTTATTCACCCACTCTATTTTGACTTCCGACTGCGCCATGTTATGGTATTAAATACTCCATAAACTATATAACTCATTTATTTAACTAACAAATCTTAATATTCTTCATTACAGTTCTGTACAATGCTCTCTCTATCTCTAACTTAAAACTTCTTCTCCCCACCATCTCGTGACACGTACGCCACCCACACTACCTATCTGTGTGGCATCAAACCTATTACTATGACAATTACTTTAAAAGAATCGAATTTCAACATCGTGGAAGTCCTCACCACAGTAGATCAGTAACGAAACTTCAGCAATATTTGCGGAACGGGTGTGACCTTGGGAGCCCGTTCCCGGGAAACACGAAGATTTAAATATTTCGTAGCATTCGTATGTGATTCATATAATACTAATAATTGTACACAAAAATAAAAATGGGTAGCATGTACTAGTGTCATTGGCCATTTTTTTCTTTCTTATAAATTATTAATATATTCAAGCAAAAGATTTTATTCAATTTTGACGTTTTAAACTGCGTTTATTAAATCCTTAACAAGTCTGACAAATAAGTTGTTATCCACAAGTGAATTGCAAAATTTTTATTTCACTCTTAATATTTTTAAATCACTCACAAAAAAATAAAAAACAACTTCAGGAACATAAACATTTTGCTTATTATTTTTAATAGTTTTCGCAGAATACAATTTGTTTACAATTTTCACTAAAAGGTTGCTGCAACTAAATCAGTATTGTTTGACATATTTGTTTGGCTCTGTGAGACGTCAATTTGGAATTGTATAAATCCCACACCAGTACAATTCCAAAGTGTGTTTCGGAAACTATTTACTACAGATTATTTCGATACGAGTGCAAGAACCAACTGTGAAACACTATTTTATTTGAAATGAAAAATTTGCTAAGGTGTTCTTTTAAACAAACTTCCACAACACATCCCCCCTGTATTCCAGCCTCGTCAACAATCATTAAGTGATGTGAGTTACCGGAAACTCACCTTGAAAGAACACAACTGTTTATGGTATGTTTGTGGATACTCATTAATACGAAAATTCTTACACCACCACTTCTGCGAAGTTTGTTGTGAACTTTGCACATTCTTACGAAGTGGTACATCCTGTTTTAATTGTGTGACATTTTAAAGTCTTCAATGAAGATGTGATTTTTGGCGATTTAATGATGCCACCTAAACATTTTGCAGTTTATATTCCGGTAATGGGTAATACATTTTGTGAGTTTTTCCCAATTTATGCACCGTAGTCGTTAACTGGTTTGCGGCTAAAAAACGAACCACACAAAAATACCATTCCATCACCCCTGCAAAGACTTTCCTCTTGACTACCTCGTCAGGGCTATGAAAGTCTCAGCTGATTCCATAAGAAATACATGGGGAGCTTACGGAACGACATAAAGAGGTCACTAGCGTCACTAAAGGTGCTCCGACCTTGAAGAACATAGTTTCTTTTTCATTTTCAGGTTTTCGGTGAACGTTTTGTCTGGTTTTGTCAACAAGAAATGTCATATTATTTACGGAATCATAGGGGATGTTGGGTTATGGGGTTAAAAACAAACGTAAAATTTATGTTAACAAAGTAATAGATACTTATGATACATGTAAAAAATACTAGAAAATTCCAGGCTAAAGAGGTCAACAAACTGCAGGTTAAACGAAATAGTTTAATTTTCGTTGTGTGCGTGTTTGAGCGGTCCAAGATTTATTTTTAAATTTTAGTGTGTAAAAAAATCTAACTAATAAAAACTGAAACGAGGTAGTCAAGAGGAAAGTCTTTGCAGGGGTGATGGAATGGTATTTTTGTGTGGTTCGTTTTTTAGCCGCAAACCAGTTAACGACTACGGTGCATAAATTGGGAAAAACTCACAAAATGTATTACCCATTACCAGAGTATAAACTGCAAAATGTTTAGGTGGCATCATTAAATCGCCAAAAATCACATCTTCATTGAAGACTTTAAAATGTCACACAATTAAAACAGGATGTACCACTTCGTAAGAATGTGCAAAGTTCACAACAAACTTCGCAGAAGTGGTGGTGTAAGAATTTTCGTATTAATGAGTATCCACAAACATACCATAAACAGTTGTGTTCTTTCAAGGTGAGTTTTCGGTAACTCACATCACTTAATGATTGTTGAAGAGGCTGGAATACAGGGGAGATGTGTTGTGGAAGTTTGTTTAAAAGAACACCTTAGCAAATTTTTCATTTCAAATAAAATAGTGTTTCACAGTTGGTTCTTGCACTCATATCGAAATAATCTGTAGTAAATAGTTTCCGAAACACACTTTGGAATTGTATTGGTGTGGGATTTATACAATTCCAAATTGACGTCTCACAGAGCCAAACAAATATGTCAAACAATACTGATTTAGTTGCAGCAACCTTTTAGTGAAAATTGTAAACAAATTGTATTCTGTGAAAACTATTAAAAATAATAAGCAAAATGTTTATGTTCCTGAAGTTGTTTTTTATTTTTTTGTGAGTGATTTAAAAATATTAAGAGTGAAATAAAAATTTTGCAATTCACTTATGGATAACAACTTATTTGTCAGACTTGTTAAGGATTTAATAAACGCAGTTTAAAACGTCAAAATTGAATAAAAATGTTTTGCTTGAATATATTAATAATTTATAAGAAAGAAAAAAATGGCCAATGTCACTACCTAGTACATGCCACCCATTTTTATTTTTATGTACAATTATTAGTATTATATGAATCACATACGAATGCTACGAAATATTTGAATCTTCGTGTTTCCCGGGAACGGGCTCCCAAGGTCACATCCGTTCCGCAAATATTGCTGAAGTTTCGTTACTGATCTACTGTGACCTCGTTTCAGTTTTTATTAGTTAGAATTTTTTACACACTAAAATTTAAAAATAAATCTTGGACAGCTCAAACACGCACACATCGAAAATTAAACTATTTCGTTTAACCTGCAGTTTGTTGACCTCTTTAGCCTGGAATTTTCTAGTATTTTTTACATGTATCGTAAGTATCTATTACTTTGTTAACATAAATTTTACGTTTGTTTTTAACCCCATAACCCAACATCCCCTATGATTCCGTAATTAATATGACATTTCTTGTTGACAAAACCAGACAAAACGTTCACCGAAAACCTGAAAATGAAAAAGAAACTATGTTCTTCAAGGTCGGAGCACCTTTAGTGACGCTAGTGACCTCTTTATGTCGTTCCGTAAGCTCCCCATGTATTTCTTATGGAGTCAGCTGAGACTTTCATAGCCTGTCCTCACGCTCACATTCTGTTATGGTTGGATAATATACCGGGAGATTTATTAGATAACAACAAAGATTTAATTCAAATAATTGATGAATTAATTTCCGTATCAGAGTTAGAAGCGTCTGGAAATATAAAACTCCAAACTCACAAACACACTTTTACGTGTTATAAAAAAATGGACCCTAATAAAAAAGAAAACTGTCGATTTGGTGCACCTTTTATGCCATCTCGAAATACAATAACATTGTTACATATGAGAGATACTGATCCATATTTTTCTGAAGAAAAATTTAAGGAATATAAAAATCACTATAAACTGATTCGTTCAAATTTAGAAAGTTTTGAATACACAGATTTTGATCACTTTTATAAAGACAATAATATTGAATCCGATGAACATTATTACAACATTATTCGTGCAGGTATCAATCGACCAAGGTTATTCTAACGTCGAACACCATCAGAAAAGTGGCATAATTCTTTTAATCCATTTGTACTTCACCATCTAAAGTCTAATATGGATTTCCAAATGATCCAAGATGAATATTCATGTGCTGCTTACGTTGTTGAGTATGTTAACAAACACAACAGAGGTATCAGCAATCTACAACGACAAATACTTCAGGTTATGGACGAAAATCCAGAATTTGATCTTGTAGATATCACAAAGAAATTGAGTGTTGACGTTCTTCATGCTGTTGAAATGTCAGCACAAGAAGCTGCTTGGTATTTGTTACGACAGCCTATGGCAAAATCATCGGTAGTGACTGTTTATATACCGACAATATATTCCACTGAACGTCAAAGAATAAGGAAAACTATGAAAGAATTAGAGGTATTGGAGGATGATTGCACAAATATATGGAAAGAAAACTGGTTTGATAAGTATGAAAAAAGACCCGATGATTTGGACAACGTTACATTAGCACAGTTCGTAGCTAATTATTACATCAATAATAAAGGAGAATATGTGAAAAGGAAAATTCCAAAAGTGATCCGTTACCGTAATTATGATATGGCTGATAACTTCAACGACTACAGAAGAGAAATGGTATTGCTGCATATTCCTTTTAAAAGTGAAAACAACGACGTTCTTGCTGATAATAAATATATCCAAATATTTGAAGATAACAAAGATTTAATCTTAAAACGCAGAAAAGAGTTTGAGTCCAACTTAGATATAGAAAAAACCCTTGAAATTTGCAGACAGTTGTGCAGAGAAAAAGAAGACGAAGAGAATGATGGAGAAGATGAACAAGAACATGCCAATATAGTCTTCGAAAATGATCCTTATGCATTGTGTGGCGGCACAATAACACGTCGGTAAGCAGAGTATAAATAAGTCGTTTCGTGGTGCAGTGGTCAGCATACCTGCCCGGAGAGCAAGGAAACGTGGGTTCGAATCCCATCGAGGCACAACATTTTTTCTCTGCTTACCTACACTTGTAAGGCGGCCGCCGTCTGAAGTGCGGCTCGCACCACCTCTGGTCGCGCCTGCGCACGTATCATTTAACGGTTTTATTCCACGGAGTTTTTGTTACGGTTTTAGGATCACATTTGTTTCAGTTCGGTCGTGCAGCAAAATTCCTATCTCCTCCAAGCCTGCCGTAAGGAACTTCGTTCCAAAAAAAG